ATCGCAATAATCACGCCAGAACAGGAACAAGACGGTTCAAACGAGAGTGGTGTGACTAGGAACAAAATACCTATTCCGCAAAACCCCAAAATTGCAACCAAAAAGCTGCCCAGTGGGTTTCAAGCGTGCACCACGCTACCTGACTGGGAAGTCCTGACTGGCGGGCCAGTCGATCGTCATAGCCAGGACAGTGACTGGGTCGTCGTTCGATGAGTCGGGCACACCAATGCTATCCATTGGCATCTATATCGTCCACTGTCTGCAGCAAAGCTCAGAGAGGGCCATATTAACCCCATCCTGGAAGGTGAACAACACCAATGTCACAAAAACTTGTCGCGCATATCCCCTGGAAACGGATGGATCAATTTAAATAAGGCTGTGAGCGTCTAGTCTGAGTGCACGTTCAGGACAGAACTAATTGACTTCGAGGTCAGAAATCTCTAGGAACATGATAGCAGTATGCATTCGGCCGTGTATATGGGCAGTTGAATGAGACCGAGAGACTTTTTCCCACTTTATCTCTCCATTTTTTCATGTATAAATATCATTTTACTGATGACTTGGGGACAACTTGTTACGATATGCCTACACAGAATTAGAGAAAACTCATACAACTAACGATAGAGCCTCACCGACATACTAGCAGGTGTAATACACGCGAAACCAACTGGTGGCAGCCGAACAAACATGGGAAGTGTGCACACTAAGCCTCTCGATGCTCCCTGTTCTATTCTTCACCGACATGCAGGTGTAATACACGCGAAACCAACTGGTGGCAGCCGAACAAACATGGGAAGTGTGCACACTAAGCCTCTCGATGCTCCCTGTTCTATTCTTCACCCGAAGCTCCCATCAAACAGATGACATGGATACGTCGGCCGAATCCTCTTCTGAAAATTCCAAAATGATACAACGCTCCTGAACTGTTTACTGAGCTTCACGGACGGCTTGAGTCATCTGGAACGGATTCACCAAATCGTTGTCAAATAATCCATTCTCCCCCGAAAAAGAAACCATGTTGCCTTGGGCGAAATTTTTCGACAGAAAACCTTGTCTCCTGAATTGCTAGAGGATATGTCGGATGGCTGGAAAGTCATTCGTTCTGAAGATGTCTTCTCTTTGTTCTGCATCACTTTTCGCGTCCAATCCGCGACTACCGGAAGCTGCTCACGATTAGGCAGTTTGTCTATTCTATATTCACTAGCCGCCGGCTGGTTAGTATCACTCAAGCGGAAAGCATCGATAGATCAATGGTTTCCACTGATGTCCCTTTGCAGGTTGAAAAGATTAGCGACAACATTGAATCGATTGATTCAAGAGAATACTGGTGTTGTAACCTTATGGGAAAGTTGGTTACTTGCTGACATCGACAATGCAATCGCCCAGCTTGATGGACAACATCCGTTCCCGACTGACCGTAGCTCGCTCAGTAGGAGCAATGGCCTACTAAATCAGCTCCAGTGTACCTCTCCGCTTTTCGGCACAGATTGGTTTCGCTTACAGGACGAAATCTCGATTTAACTACAAAGATATTCGCTGTAGGCAGATGCATCCTTGGTGTATTCAGTCACCGCACTTCGGCCTTCCACTCAAACATAAGCCACGCACAATGCATAAGAAGGGTTTAAAAGGTCAGCCAGCTGAGGACTGCGTGCTCCATACTTTCTGGTGACTGCCTTGTTCAACAAGCGATTTATTGCTCCACCAACTGTTGCAGTGTCAAGGACTCACGTGGCTGAGGAAGTTTGCTCGGAGTGGAGACGAATTGCTTGCAAGACTGTTTCAAACAGTCCTCTTAGGTGGGCGAATGACTGCTCTGCTACCCCATCAGTTGGCTTACAGAAGAGTGCATCCGACGTTGAATGTTGTCGCCGACTTATATAGTTGATCTTCTTTTCAGTTGATAGTAGTGACAAGGTGATTCAGTTGGTCCTGTCGGACTTCACCACTTCATATGACACCGAGTGTTGCTGAAACTGCTTTCTGAAAGTGTTGATGAGATTGGTCTTGTTCGGCTTCTAATGTACTGTTTCACAATGTCGGACTCCGCATATATCTCGACAATACGAGTGCTCTCCAAAGGGGAACTTTTAAGTCCTCCTTCCCCTTGTATTTTAGTAGCATGCCCATCCCCGAGTATTTCATCCAGTGCGAATATGCAAGCGATGGAGCCCTTGACCGTACATGTGACGTTAATGAGAACTTGTTAGACGGAATCTGTGCTGACAGAGCGCTCACTATCATTCAACATCACGAAGTATCAGGATTTAGGATTCTCCGTAGTCCAAGTAAGGGTGTACAACGACTAGCTCACCAAACAAGTTTCCCTCATTGTTATCGGGGTCTGTATTTGTAGATAGTAAGCAGGGGGTTCTTTGGATTCGATAATCCCAAGCAACCACAGATGAGTAGAGTTCAACTTTGGGGGCGAGAAGGCGCAAGTGGTTGGAGCGCAAATTTACTGACCGAAAGGTCCGTGGTTCGAACCCGACCTCTGCCTCTCGACTTCTCCTATCTAGGCTTGGGCAACCTGGCAGTATCCCGGCCCTCGTGCTTTCTTCGGGTGTAATGGCAGCCAGGCACCAAAAGGGTGCTACAGCTGAACGATTATCATCAGAGTTCAGCCTTACCGAATGCATGGAGTGCATGGTGAATCGCTTCTTTTTCGGGAGCGAATATACCCACACTGAAGTCGAAATAGAATTCAAACAACTGTACCGGAACATCACCAAGAGTTAACGAGATCACATTTTGACAAGCACACTCATTTGCAAGTCAATTTGGTTTTCACGAGGGACTCAACTGAACCTCTCGTTTATGATATTCTTCAACTCAGAAACGAGAGATTCAGTTGAGTCTCCGTAAAAACCAAATTGATCTGCAAATGAGTCTATTTGTCGAACATAAGGTAGACGGACACTCGGGGACTGTGTCTGCTTAATGAGCCCCAAGAAAGGCGAAACCGGTCGTGGGCTGTAGAAGAATTTTCAACAGCCTTGTGAGTTGTTTCTCCCAATAAAAAATAACGACGAAATTTGTCTAGCATTGGTCGTTTTGAGATAGATGCTGCCCCTGATAAATCGCACTGCCATCTTTAGTAGCCATACTCGCATACTGGTACCACTGCAGCCTCACGGGTCGTGTACAGTACGAGAGCTTGACAATCATCCAAACGCAAGAATCGGAGATAAATCGCGAGTGTAGTGCAATTCACTTAGTCCTCAAAACCATCCGTCCATGACCTGAAAACAACTATCAACCCAAAGGGCTGGGAGACAGGACATAACTCCTCATTTTGATACCTTGTAAATCAGATTGCAGAGTGCACTCAACCGAGATAGAACACGAATTGTACTTCTTTTCGGTCATCTAACAACCCCTTCACATGTAACAAAAACTGTCTAACCGAATGCAGACAGAAATGTGCCCAGTATCATCCAATCCTTCCAGTGTCTGTCTGTTCAACCGAAGAACGGATGAAAAAAGCAATAATAGACTGATGATCATGATGAAAAATCATAATACAACTTGAAATCCCAAACCAAAAGGAAGAACAAAATAAATGGAATGTTGACCGACAATCAACAATAGTAACAACAAACAAATATCACAGGACAGAAATTCGTGAGTAAAATGCAAAATGGCGCGGTGCAGACAAGTCTCCGGAGATTCGCAGTAGTTGTAGGAATGGACTTGTTGATGTGGAGGAAAAGATTTCTGAGGAATGAAGTAATCAATATATCACAGACGATGGGTATATAAGCGAAACATTCCAACAAAAAGAGTCTGGTGTGAAAACTGATGGGTTCCAAAGAGAAATGCGGAAATGTTGGTTGTGGTTTGTGGATTGCGACTAGGTCGATCCTGTGGGAGTGTCCGTCAGACGACGAAGCAGTTGACGGAAACTGTTAAAGAAAATTCATGTATACGGTAGTCACCAGGCAAAGTAAGAGCGATTTGGAATCAGAAAGCATGAGAAATTATATAGTTTCGAGAGGTGACAAGCATTATATGATAACCTGGTGGTTGAATGGTGCATTTATTTAACAAAAATCGAACCACGGACCTTCCGGTCAGTAAATTCGCGCTCTAACCACTTGAGCCATCTCGCTACTGAGTGGTGCATCTTTGGATGTAGTGCATTTTTCTGCCTTCCGCAGTGAGGACGACTAGTCTAGAAACCTAGTGCAAAGTTATGCGGAAGACGGATGACAAAAACAGAAATCCAATCACCTAATAGAATACGGCATCTTCAATGCTCCGACAGAACGGGAAAAGTTCCATTAGCTGTTCACTCTAACAGAGATGCGGGTTGCTCGATTCAGGTGACGACCCGGAAATTATTACTCAGTTGCCCATCCTATGTGTGACCTTTCCCGCGCCTCACTTTGGAGCTCGCCAACTAAAGGCAAGCGCACTGGCGGACAGCGCTATGATGTGCTATGAAGAATCTCCGAGGAAAGAAAAACGAATAACTAAGCATTTGGTCGAATTCGAAAGAATGAGGCATCTACTCACACTGGACCAAGCCCCAGGATGAGTAGCTGGCTCGGAACCAAACAGAACCTAGCACTCTGAAAAGAGTTACACATCCCATACCCATAGTACGTATAAATTCAAACAACACAGGCCACATTAGACTGTAAAAGTAAAAAGAAGCACAAACAACCGTTTCACATTCGAACGAGGAGTTATAGTATAGATGACTGGTTCGTAACTCACATGGTTTTAATATTAGGCTTTGCATTCCAGCCTGGGCGTAGTTTATCCAACGGTTCCAAGGGCATAGGTCCCTCAACTTCCGGATCCTTTGCGCTAAAGCAGAAATCGGGCACACAGAAGAGTATGACAACTGGAATACCTAGAATGCACGCTGCGCGTGTGAGCTACTATCAGCTGATTTGAGTAGTCACAACCAAATTAGAGTTGTAGATCGATGCCACAAAATGACCGTCAGAAGAAGTTTCAAGTTACCTGAATAACGTTGATGTCCTCCTAAGCTGCGGAAACTTCAAAACAAACAAGAGGTCACGGCAGTGCGTGTAATAATGGTGATGTGTCTACCACACAGTCTCTGGCAGAGCAAAATGATGATAGCTACCATTTGTCATCCACGAGATCCCAAGTATTAGGAAAACGCCGACGGCTACCAAACAGAAACAGCACACCAAGCATTCCAGTTCGCTTGACTGGATTAAAAGACGATGGACCCAGATAAGCCCTCGCAAGGCCTGGCACGCCGAGGTCAGTGTGTGAAGCGATAGTGAGAAAGGACGTGTATAGCCGATGGTTTGGGATGCCGGAGAGCTCAACAATCGAACTCAAGATGGGCTGATGCCCCATACCACTAAACTGGTTTCGATAGATGAGATTCACCAAAATTCACCTGAATAACAGTCACAGGTTTAACGCTAAAACACAAAATAAATGACTGACATACTTTTCCAGTTCCAGTATCTCTAACTCCTGCTCCAACTCAATTAGGCGGCAACGAAGCTCATTCCGCTCGTATAGCAGGTGACGTAATTCTTCCAGTGTGACCAGACCATCAGCATCTGACGTGAGCTTATCTTGCCCCACGTCCCAAGATGCTGGCGAGAAAGCATCTTTAACGCACATGGCAGATTCAACTCCTTGATTAGGGGATAGGTGAAGGGCAGGCGGTAGAGCTGAGGTTGGCTGATAAGGGGAAAGTCAAAATGAACGTGCCGAACAGTTCTGTCTCTCTACTACACACAGCCACTGAGAAATTAGGAGAAAACAAATACCAGTTTTGAAATTACACTGGAGAAAGTTCACGCAAGTTTCAACACGCCCAATCGAGGTTCATACTACTGCTGATCATGTTTGTAGAGTCGGTCAATCACTTTATTGAGATGACAGTAACAAATACAGGGGCGACTGACTGTTCTTCGCTTTCGAATTCTGTGAAATGTTATGAGTTCACACTCAACTCAAGGTGTCGTGAGGCGCAGGAATTGATTAGTTTGCCTCGAAACTGAATATATTTGATGGAAGATTAACAGCCTGTGCTCTGCTATCTCGACAAGGGGGACCAGGTATACGGTGTTGGAGAGTATTTTTTCTGTTGGACATTACATAAAACGGAATGATAGACAGATGAAATGAAATTAGTGAGTTGGATTGTTCTTGTTTCCAATGCTTACACTTGGCATGTGGCAGCCTCGGATATACCCTGGCATTGGCTAAACCACATTGAATAGCGGCCACAAACACCCTAGCTGTTGCGGTTCCCGAGTTGAAACTTTGAGTGACGCGTAGGTTTGATAATTCAGGATATCAAAAAGAAGAATTGAGTTATAAAGTATACGGTGCTAGTTACACAAGGTTAGGCAACAAAACTCAATGTTCCACGCTCGTGGTATCAACAAGTGCACAAGTCACCGACCGGCACAGTGCAGAGTCAAGGTCAGCACTCCAAACAACGGCGAGCGGAATTTTGGCTCTGTAGTGTGGGTTGCAGTTGTATCTTCCGGGAACAGTCTCGAAATTCGTGAAAAAACAAGCTGGGCAGGCTCAGCAAACGGCGCACGAACACTCACGAGGAAGTATTACAACAAACGGGACGGCCTTTGAGGCAAGGTGAATGGCGCAAACAAGGTGAATGAGCACAACAAGTGGAGAGCAAAAGTACATGAGCGGAGTAGGCGGGGTAGTGAGCTATCATGAGGTCAGGTTAGGTTCAATAACCGTCCTATGTACAAAATTATCCCTGAATCTGGGTTACCAGTCCATTTACAACCTTACTGGAAGCGCCGCTTTTAGACGGTTTCCAACTCGTTGTGTGATCGTCCAGTTGTAGCACCCTTTCGGTGCCTAGCTGCCATGCCACACAAAGAAGGCACGAGGGCTGAGATACTGCCAGGTTGCCCAAGCCTAGACAGGGGAAGTCGAGATGCAGAGGTCGGGTTCGAACCACGGACCTTCCGGTAAGTAAATTCGCGCTTGGGCCATCTCGCCCCCAATTGCTGTGTTGCAGATAAATTTATGGTCGCCCCAATTCGCTACCCCTAATTATTACCTCATATGTACGGATGAGTCAGTCTAATGGAAATCACGTACCACAACCCTTCGAGTTCGGCTATCCGCGATTCATCCTCCTTCCATCGACGAAGACCGTAAACCATCCAAATTCCAAACATCAGGTTTGGTAGTGGCGAGTCAGTTTTTAGCTTGCCTAGTGCTCGACAACACCAGCTCGTGCAGAGCCTACATCATCCGTTTGTGAAGAACATTTCCGAACCACCATCAAGCGTGGTGATGGAGGCAAACGAATGGGGTGCTATTACAAGCGCAGATCGTGCAAACTTGCTCTCACGACGATCCTCAACGAACAGATGACCAAGCACTTCAGGCCATTCAGCATCTTTGTTTCGTAAGGGCCAGGTTTGGAGTTGGTAATGTGGAGCGGAATGAGTGGTTTTTGGGATCCAAACCTAGTTTACGTAATACGTCACTGAATGAAAAAACTCTTCTGGCATTATCGATGCGGCTTCTAACCGATGGGCAAAATAACGGGCCCGACGTGACTGAGGGCTTCAAAGGTTTCCAGCGGAAGTGTGATATTCATGGGATGAGGGGATAAGATGGACCAAGTGGTTAGAGCGCGAATTTACTGACCGGAAGGTCCGTGGTTCGAACCCGACCTCTGCATCTCGACTTCCCCTGTCTAGGCAACCTGGCAGCATCCCAGCCCTCGTGCCTCCTTTGTGTGGCATGGCGGCTAGGCACCGAAAGCTGAATGATTTTTTTTTCATGGGATGAAAAGGTGTTAGTTTCTGCAGTATTAAGCTTCAGGCTGTTAGTTTCGAAGTATTGATCAATACGGCCAAGTGTAGGTCTGCTGCTGTCAAAGGCCATCATCAAAGAGGACAGCAACATCCATGTAGCCGGGGTCACAGACAGATCCATAAGCTATGGCATAGCTACGCTCTGTGATAATTCCAAAAAGTTTTCCTATAATCCAGCCAAGATTATAGACAAAAAGAAGTGGAAGGAGCGGGCCTTTCCATCCCACCCCGATGCGTACAAAACCTGTATTGAACGTGCCTTCGGTATTTGAAGATCAAATTTAAACCACGGTAGTACGATCCACCGTCTAATCATCATGTTCGTCAACGCTTTTCTCATAGAGGAAATCTAACTCCTAGTGATTATTATCGACATCGTTCAAGGTGGGAGAAGTTGCGCGACAAGCCTCAATGCACGTATCCCACTCGTCAACAACTATTCACGAGTAGGTAGGAGAACCAACATGTCGCGAATTTCTTGGAGAAGAACCTTAGGCACACAGGAGGCTACAGAAAAATATGAGGCAACGTACTGAGACCATCAGCTTCCCCGTGTTCTGAACATGTCCACGAGATTCATCTTCAGACTGTTTCTCGGCCTGATCGGGTTCTCGAATCAAAATCTCGTCATCTGTCGGAAGCCGCTGATTCAACTCCATCAATTCTCGTTCCTTCATTCGCAGCTTCGTCTCGAGGATAGCCTTTTCTCCAACCAACTGACCGATTTGACGCCTGTGTGGTGCGCGGGAAACAACCAACTGTCCGCTTTGTCTGGCCAGACGACATACTTCCTCTTCAGCCTAAAAAACAGAATGACGGGAAATTAAAATACAAGAAATGGGGAGAGTATAATCAAAGCACCAGAAAACCAAACAATGTGGGGTGTTGCTGCACGAGTTTCCCCCACCCACAAAACTCACCTAAAACACGGCCTACCAATGGGTGAGCACAAAGACAACTACCAGTTGGTACACAGCAATCAAATACAACAACCGTCCAGTTGCAACACCTCATCGGTGACATGCTACGCGAAGGAAGCATGAGGGCTGAGACACCACCAGATTGCCCAAACCTAAGCAGCAGTTGAGATGCTGAGATTGTGCTCGAACCAAGGACTTTCCAGTCGGTAAGTTCGCGCCTCAGACACTGAGCTAACTCGAGCTCGGCTAATAAGCGGTGTGTGAGGAAATTCTAGCATCACACTCGAAAGTGCTGAAGAAGAGAAGTTTGCGATTAAACTGCCCGCGTCAGCAAACAAATTACCGATCATCAAAGCAACCAAAAGATAGTAGTAGTCTCCACAGTAGCGTATTTTTTCCGTTCCCCCCTAACCCGGTTAGACCCAAGAATCTAGTTGATCAGTTCAGCGCTCGCTATGGAGGAGGTTTCGCCGTGCACGAGGTAAAGTTGGCCAGTAAAAGTGATCAGCGTGTGGTAGGCTTCGTGAGCTGAAATTACAGTCAATACATGCCAAAGATTGTCTCGAATCCGGATGGTGCTTCTGTATTTTTTCACCTAAATTCATTCACGCGAATTTCGTAGATCAAGCTTTATTGCCACCGATAACGAACTCTATCGGGGGTGACGACTGCTAAATCGCTTCGCTTAGCGAACCTGCGATATCATTATCGACAGTAACATAAATGTTGGACACGAGCGATTTTCTGCTTTCAACGATTTTGCGATCCTTAGAGTTCAAATGCAAAGACTGGCCTGTTTTTGAGGAGAGAAATCTTCATAACCTCAATGGTATTCTGTCAAGATGATTCCTATCTTCGATGCACATCGACCTTGGGCGAGCTATCATCACCAAATCAACTCAACCTGGCATGGTTCAGTGGTTGGAGCGCGAATTAACTGACCAGAAAGTCCGTGGTTCAAACCCAACCTATCATCTCGGCTTCTCCTGTCTGGGCCCGGGCAACCTGACATTATCCTAGCCTTCGTGCTTCGTTTGGGTCGCATGGCAGCTAGGCACCGGAAGGATGTTACAGCTGAACGATTTTTTTTCAATCTGACATGTGTGAGTCCGGTTAGGCACAACAACTTACGGCATCCAAAGCAGCGCTGGTCTGAAGTAGTTCCTTGTTGAGTGAACGAATAGCACGGTAGTTAGTCGCAACACATTCCTTCAAGCGACCAATCAGCTGCAAGTCCGCCGTCCGATCTAGAGAAAAAATAACTCAGAGGATGGACCGGGGCCTCGCTCAGTGCGAATTTTCAAGAATTTGGTGCATTAGAAATTACACGAGGGAGCACAACGGTAAAATGAGTTAATTGGCCCTTCTTGGGGGAATCCCAGGAGGAATGAAGGACGAGATCGGCAGTGGCTGTTCTTCAAAAAAGCGCTTTGAACAACTGCATTGTACTACAGGTGTTCCTTATGCTCTAATTAAAAACTGGACACAATCGGAGATCTTCAATAAATTATGAGCCGTACCACGAGAACGGATGCTCTAGTTGAAATCATACCAGTGTTAGCCAAAATAACGGCAAATACCCACGCCTCAAGATCAAGACACTCAAGACAACCCAGAGGTTTCTGTGGGAGCTACTTGCCGGAAAGTCTGAAATTCAACTATTCCTGCTTAGGCTTCTTTAAGTCGACAGCGTCTTACCTGCCATGCTTCTTCAGAGTTGCATAGCAGCTGCGTATTGAAAAGATTCCAGACCATTACAGTTTGGCAAACATACGTCTTTTCGGCATCTCCTCCACGATACTTACAACTGCAAACCAAAAGTGAAGCAACGAAACTTTAAAACGACAAGTTCATAAATGTGTGGTATTTTCTGTGAACTGCTCAACTTGTGGTCAACTTAGCTTTATTAACCGAACTAATAACTGCTGAGACAGACAGACCAGATATGGTTGAATCAGTCCCGTTGAGAATCACTTGCTGAACTATTTTCTATCTTTTTCACCATGGGCTAGATGACTCAGTGGTTAGAGTGCGGATTTACCGACCGGAAGGTCTGTGGTTCGAACCCAACTTTTGCCTTTGGACTTCCCCTGTCTAGGCTTGGGCAACCTGACCTCGTGCTTCCTTGGGGTAGCATGGTAGCTAGGCACCGAAGGACACCACAGCTGAACGCTTTTTTCATCACCGTCATCATCACCACCAACAGCATAACATCAGTGTTCAACACCGACTCTTTGCTGCCGTACACAGTAGATCGTAATGTAGTGACCCAGTCGGGTTATTCCACTTCCCAAAAAAGCATATCGGTCGCTTAGCCATTGATTTCCTGTTTTCTGAAAGATCAGGAAGCAAACGGATGAAATTTCAAGAGATTATGTCAACAAACCAGATTTCATACGCACAGGGCGACTGCGTACTGATGAGCTTAAAATTTGAACATCTTTAGATTTCTAAGGGATTGTTCTTTAAAAAACGTGGAACTTGTTGCATGAACCCTTGAAGAAAGTAATCAACTCATGAATGGTGTATATTGGGAAGTTTGAAGGTAAGAATAAACGAATAAAGTAGGATCAATTCAGACCAAAAGTTTGAGTGGTTAAAAAGAAACCTATGGCTGTTTATGACGGTATTGTGCACTCAGCTCGGCTACTGATCAACGTACAGTTCACGTCAATTAGAACGCCAGAAAAGTCTGGAAAACTAACTTATCTGAGTACGGCTGTCCGTACAGCAGTCTTGACGTACAAACGAATACTGTAAGGGCGTACAACACAATGGTGAGTGGGGTTCACGAAGACGGAGCACCAAAACCAAACTTCAGTAGTGAAAGAAAGCACCACGTCATCATCGATATCTAAGAGCGGTGGTGCGTAGCGGTTTAGCGTACGTCTGATGTAGGCGTCGAGTGCGGTTATGCTTACGTTTATATAGGTCTTGTTGACAGAGAGTAACCTTCAACCATTACTGGATGGTCACTACCCCTGGTTGCTTTGGAAACTGGATAGTCCGGATCAGCGGTTCTCCATACATTATTCCTCTCAATGGCGAGATTCATTTCGCGCACGTGACACTGTCAGCAAACATGGTTACATTCACCCGATATCTAGACCAAAACCTCGGAATGACTTCATTCAAACCTCAATGGAGCAACAACGAAGGCGTCACGCGTTGGCCACTGTGCCAAGAAACCACTACTCTACACGGAAAAGATAATGCGCGGACCGGTCATTGAAGCAGGCAGACCACAGCCGGAAGTCTAGTGAAACCAAGCAAAGGTCAAGTTAAGAAAAAAACATACTTTCTTGTTCAGTAAGCTGCAAGCGTTGTTCAGTTTCGGAGAGAATAAGCGAGATGTTACTGTCTGCCTGTTCGTCACGCACGTTCTGAATCGAGCCTGATTTCTTGGCGGTTACTGCTGGGAGTTTTCGAGGCAAATCACAAGGGCGACCAGCAGCAGCGGCTTTAAGTACTAAGCTCACTGAAGTTTTCGCTGAGTCCGCCTCTTCCGTTTCCTCCACCCAATCAGGCGTCGTTCGAAACTCCGATGTAAGCTGTTGGGCGAGACTATTGTTTTCTGCCTCCAGTTCAGTCACTTGTTCCAGCAGATGCTGTGTTTCACAGTACCAACTTTGTTCTAATTGCTCCAGATTCTACGATAACAAGTGGATGGAATCAAACAACGGAGTGAGCGTGACTGAATTAAATAGTAATACTTGGTCTGAGCCTCACCAATCGGTGGAGAATTGCATTAAGTCAATATAACTGTCGCAAAATTACAGGGAAACACAAACTAACTGCGAAACTGCCGGAAATATGTGGGTTGCAGCAACAGGTTCATCACAGGCCAGGCGTGTACACGGTCTGACAGTTCGTAATAGAAACTTGAGGCTCAGCTTTTATCACAATCGTCCGATTACCGGAAGATCTGGTGAGAACGTGAGTCGTCAAACTATGGTCTGTAAAGACGACTTTCAAGCTCCCCATTCCACTGTCCCGTGAGCTTCCGATGCCCACCGTCCCGTTATTTTGTCCTCAGAATGTGAAACTTATAACCAAAATATTTGATGGGCTGAATATTCCACCACCCAAGAGGCAAATCAACTTGAAGGTAAAAAAAAAGCGTCCATCGGGTGCGACTTGTTACGTAGTCCCTCCGAAGAGAGACCAACCCTGTCAGGGGGGTCTACACCTTCCTCTCATATAAAATCGTTCGTTCAGCTGTAACACCCTTTCGGTGCCTAATTGCCATGCCACCAGAAGGGAGCACGAGGGCCGGGATACTACCAGGCTGCCCAAGCCTTGACGGGGAAGCCGAGAAGGAGAGGTCGTGTTCGAATCACGGACCTACCGGTCAGTAATTTCGCGCTCTAAACACTGAGCCTATATGATCATAGTTGATGAGGAAAAGAAACCTGAACATAAGTGTGTGACTGCATGCATAAGTTGACCGATAAAGCGTCTGTCAATATAACCACACCAACATCTGATATAAATAACCGAAGTGTTTGTATGCTCAACATGAAAGACGACATCCAGCTCAGTGATCAGTCTTCACGGCATTGTGCTTATCGCGGACCTAAGGCTCTAGCATTTGGTAAGAGAACTCGCAGATTGGATAACTGCTGACTGAACTCAAGACTGAAGTTAGTTACAACAATGTCACATAGTAGTATCCAAGGTAGTTTACTAAAATTATTCGAGAGGAGGTCCGGGAACCGAAATACTTTTAAAACCAAAGGGCCCGGTGCTGCTCAAAAGGCACCTGCTGTGCGCAGCCGCATCAGGAATGAGACAGTAATGCCTTATTCCCTGCGCCCTCGG